GATAAAATCAAAAAAAAAAAAAAATTAAAAAAATTATAAATTAAATTATTGCAAGTTTTAACAAAATAAATTTAATTTTTTTTATCTATGTATATATTTTATTTATTTTACCCTTAATAAAAAATATTTTATCATTATTTATTTAATGGAATTCTAGTTTTTCAACTTAATAATATATTTGGTTGCATATCGTATTTTTGCAACGATCAATAATGCGCACACGTGATTGGTGCACAGTTACTTACTTTATAAATGTTAGATAGTATAAGTGTTAATTAGTTGTTAATTATTGTAATTTAGTAAAAGGCAACAAAAAAATGTGTATGTATATCATTAATGGATTACACGGCTACAATAATAGCACACTTAATCTATAGATATCTCCACTGATATTAATTTTTGATGAATTAATTTACGAGGGGAGATTTTATATGATACCTGGAATAAAAAAAACATTTTCAGGTAAGATTTAATATTTTATGTTGTTTTTTTTTTGGGATGAAAATAGCAATTTCATCATTAAAAAGTGGGATTTCAATTTTTTTAAACTGAAAAAATCAATTTATAGAAAAGTACGACTTTTTGAATCAATTTTCAGTCAATTTTTACGTTTTAGAACGGAGATTTTTTTCTGAAAATTGCCTGAAAACTGCAAAAATGTTAGGAGCATTATGTTAAACATTCTTTTATTCTATTATATCACGTAATTGCACGAAAATGTAAAACACTCGGTATTTTTTTCTAATTTCTCTTTTTTTTCAGTATGAAGGAACTCCATTTTATCCAAATAATGACAGATTCTGGCTAGTCGTGAAAAAATATAAAGTTAGTCAGTTTTACACTGCACCCACTGCCATTAGAGCTTTAATGAAATTTGAAGATGATCTAGTTAAAAGGTAAGCAAATTGTTGTCAAAAAATTAAATAATTATTTTCATTTCGTTATAAAAAAATTCTTGTTAAATTTTTGTTCGCACATTATGTTTAATAAGATATTGTTTTATTTTCAGAGTCGACTTATCCTCTTTAAAAGTATTAGGCTCAGTGGGTGAACCTATAAACCCCGAGGCTTGGATGTGGTATTACAAACTAGTCGGAAGAGAAAAATGTTCTATTGTTGACACTTTCTGGCAGACGGAAACAGGAGGTCATGTTTTGACACCTCTTCCAGGGGCAACTCCCATGAAACCTGGAGCTGCTGTAAGTCGACTATAAATCTTTTTTTTTTATTTTGTGTGATTTAATTCTACTCTGAGAAACAAAATTCGAATTTTTGATGTCAGTATTTCTTCTTTCGGAGAGATTAGAAGACTGCAAAACTGAAATACTGAGAAACTAACAAATTAAGAATCTGAAAAATTTTAAAACCAAAAATTTGAAACACTGAAAAAAACTAAGAAAGAATGAAACTGAATTACTACTTTCACTTATTGGTGTTGAAACACTGAGAAACTAAAAGACTGAAAGACCGAGCTGAAATACTGAGAAATTAAGTACTGAGAAACTGAGAGATTGAAAATCTAAAGCAATGAAAAACTAAGAAACTGAGAGACTAGGAAACTGAAAATTTGAAACATTGAAAAACTAAGAAACTACGAAACATATATAAACTGAAACTAAAAGATTGAAAGATCGAGAAACTTAAAAGATGAGAGACTAAAAATCTGAAACTAAAAAACTATGAAAAAGAGTGACTGCTTTCACTCTGCTGAAATACTGAGAAACTAAAAATTAGAAAAACAGGAAGATTGAAGATTTAAAACACTGGAAAACTAAAGCTGAGAATTTTATATTGTGAGAAAATAATAAACTGAAAAACTGAAACTTTGAGATACTAAAAGACCTGAAAAGTTAACTGAATAAAAAGCTGAAACTCTAGAAAACTAAGAAATAATTTATATTTTTGATGTTTATTGAAACACTGAGACTGAAAAAAAGTATTTAGCTTAAGAAATTGAAATGCTAAATGACTGTCTGAAAAACTCAGTCGAAGGATTGAGAAAAGCTGAAATATTGAAAAACTAAGAAACTATGTAACTGAATAACTACTTTCAGTAATTTCTAGTGAAACAATGAGAAACTAAAAGACTGAGAAACTAAGAAATTATAATACTGAAAAACTGAGAGATTGAAGATCTAAAACAATGGAAAACTAAGGAACTGAGAGACTGAAATATTGAAAAACTAGGAAACCAAAAATTTCAAACATTGAAAAACTAAGAAATTACGAAACTTATATGCTGAGAAACTTATAAACTGAAACTCTGAGAAACTTAAAGATTGAAAAATCGGTGAACTTAAAAGCTGAGAGAATAAAAATCTGAAATTGAAAAAACTATGAAAAAGAGTGACTGCTTTCACTCTTTGCTGAAATACTGAGAAACAAAAAAATTAGAAAATTGAAAAACTGGAAGATTGAAGATTTGAAACACTGGAAAACTAAGAAACTGAGAATTTTATATTATGAGAAAATAATAAACTCAATGGCTGAAAAACTGAAACTTTCAAATACTAAAAGATCGAAAGACCTGAAAAGTTAAGTGAAAGCTGAAGCTCTAGAAAACTAAGAAACTATTTATATTTTTGGTCTTTATTGAAACACTGAGAAACTGAAATAATGAGAAACTAAGAAACTGAGAGATCGAGTGACTGAAAAAATGTAATTAGCCCAAGAAAGTGAAAAGTTGTTATGTTGTGAAACTAATATAAATTGACTGTCTGAAAAACTAAAAGATCAAGAATGAGAAAAACTGAAACACTGAAAAACTAAGAAAGTAGAAAACTGAAAAGTTGAGAGACTAATAATCTGAAGCATTCGATTAAGAGTGGTGAGAAACTAAAAGATTAATAAACTAAAAAGCTGAAAGACTGAAAAACTAAGAAACTGAAGCTTGAAATACTAAGAAACGAGTGAAATTAAATCAAAAAATAAAAAAAGCTGAGAGAATAAAAATCTGCAATTGAAAAAACTATGAAAAAGAGTGACTGCTGAAATACTAAGAAACTAAAAGACTAAAAATACGGGGAAACTGTAAAGTTGAAATACTGAAAAACTAAAAATTAGAAAATTAAAAAACTGGAAGATTGAAGATTTAAAACACTGGAAAACTAAGAAACTGAGAATTTTATATTATGAGAAACTAATAAACTGAGAATTTTATATTTTGAGAAACTAATAAACTTAATGGCTGAAAAACTGAAACTCTGAGATACTAAATGATCGAAAGACCTGAAAAGTTAATTAGCCTGAAAAATGTAATTAGCCCAAGAAATTGAAAAGTTGAAATGCTATGAAACTAATATAAACTGACTGTCTGAAAAACTAACTAAAAGATCAAGAACGAGAAAAACTGAAACACTGAAAAACTAAGAAAGTAGAAAACTGAAAAGCTGAGAGACTAATAATCTGAAACATTGGATTAAAAGTGGTGAGAAACTAAAAGATTAATAAACTAAAAAGCTGAAAGACTGAAAAACTAAGAAACTGAAGCTCGAAATACTAAGAAACGAGTGAAATTAAATCAAAAAATAAAGAAAGCTGAGAAAATAAAAATCTGAAATTTAAAAAACTATGAAAAAAAGTGACTGCTTTCACTCTTTGCTGAAATACTGAGAACTAGAAGACTAAAAATACTGGGAAACTGTAAACTAAAGAAATACTGAAAAACTAAAAATTAGTAAATTGAAAACTGAACGATTAGTGAACTAAAAAACTGGGAGACTGAAAAATTATGAGAAACTAATAAACTCAATAGCTGAAAAACTGAAACTCTGAGATACTAAAAGATCGAAAGACCTGAAAAGTTAAGTGACTAAAAAGCTGAAGCTTTAGAAAACTAAGAAACTGAGAGATCGAGTGACTGAAAAAAAGTATTTAGCCCAAAAAACTGAAAAGCTGAAATGTTGTGAAACTAATATAAACTGATTGAAAGATTGAGAAATGTTGAAACACTGAAAAACTAAGAAAGTAAAAAAATGAAAAGCTGAAAGACTAATAATCTGAAACATTGGATTAAGAGTGGTGAGAGAAACTAAAAGATTAATAAACTAAAAAGCCGAAACGCTGAAAAATTAAGAAACTGAAGCTTGAAATACTAAGAAACGAGTAAAATTAAATAAAAAAAAAATAGAAAAAACTACGGTTTTTTTGTGGATCTTGCTCATTTGCTCTAAAATTTGTGTTTTTTAAAGGCATTCCCTTTCTTTGGCGTCCAACCCGCCCTTTTGGACGAATCCGGCAACGAAATAAAGGGCGAGGGTGAAGGTTACCTCGTTTTCTCCCGTCCTTGGCCCGGCCTAATGCGCACCCTTTACAACAACCACCCCCGCTACGAAACCACCTACTTCTCAAAATTCCCCGGTTATTACTGCACCGGTGATGGGGCGCGTCGCGACGCCGATGGGTACTTATGGGTCACAGGCCGTGTCGATGACATGTTGAACGTCTCAGGCCATTTAATGTCAACCGCTGAAGTGGAATCGGTTCTAACCGAACATCCCAGTGTTGCCGAAGCAGCGGTTGTGGCCAAACCGCATCCGGTTAAAGGCGAATGTCTTTACTGTTTTATCACAACAACGGACATGACGCGGTTTGATGACAAATTGTTGACAGAGTTGAAACAGCTGGTTAGAGAGAGGATAGGACCATTTGCACAACCGGATGTTGTGCAAAATGCACCAGCGTTGCCGAAAACGAGGTCTGGGAAGATAATGAGGAGGATTTTGAGGAAGGTGGCGGTTAATGATCGAGATGTTGGGGATGTTAGTACGTTAGCTGATAGTCATGTTGTTGAGGAGTTGTTCGCGAGTCGACCTGTGAATGCTTGAGAAAATTGTTGTTGATCTGTTGAATATACAGGGTGTACCAGTGAGTGGAAAAAGTCCATTAGTGATTTGTAAATTGTAAAATTTAAAAAAAATGTCACCTAAAATTATTTTCAACTATATAGCATGTCCCATAATTGTGTTTTTTTTAAATGAATGTTTTTACGTTTCGCTTAGTTTTTTTTTTGACAAAAACATGCACTTTTTAAAAATTTATTGCACAAAAACTAAGACAGCTAGAACAATTTTTTTCTTACTTCTGCAAAGAAGAAAGTACAGAATTTAAAACTGTAGCAATTTTTTAGTGTTTTGCATTTGTAAAGATTAATAAATTAAGAAGTTTGTTAAAAGTTAAATAATTTAAAAAAATTTAATNTTAAAAAAATTTAATGGAACACCCTATTTTTTATTTTTGTATCTAATATATTGATAAATTGTCTATCTAAAAAAATAAAATTTTAATGTCTAGAATTGATAAATGAAAAGATATTTAACATTCAATAAGTGAGTGGATAAGGGTGTTATGTAACATTTTTTTGAAAACTGGTATTTTCTTTTAAAACAATTTTTTTCGCAATATTTTTTTATTGAAAAAGACTTTTAAGTGTTGGTTTCTATTAGGAATGAAATTACCAAATCCTAAAGGCGTTATGTACAACTTGAATTGTTGAATAAACAGTGGATAAAGGTGTTAAAATATGTTTAAATAAATAAATAATAATAAATTAATATTTAAAAAAGCTCAAATAACACTATTTTTACTTAATTCAATTACTTTCCGGCGTATTCTTGACAAAATTTTGCGAAAAAATTGCGTTTTTTTGAAAAATGTTTTAAAACGCTCGAAAAGAGCATAAATTATGTTGTTTTTTATTTAGTCTGGTATATGTATTAATTTTGGTTTGTTTTTTTAGCAAGAATTAAAGAAAAAACTTTGTTTTAGACTTGAAAACGCAACTAAATGTTTGAAAAAAGCAAAAATAACATCATTTTCGGATTAATTATGTGATTTTGTGCTTTTGACTGAAAAATTTGCTAAAACGTTTGGAAAAGCAACCAGATGATTTTTCTTTCGGCTCAAAACATGCTTAAACTCTCCAAAGAAGAAAAAATAATTTTAGTTTCGTGATAGTTTATTCATTTTTTACCTCATTTTTGACGAAAATTTTCAAAACAATTGCAATTCTGACTAAAAAACGTCCGGAAAAATGGTATTATTTTTGAACAAAATTTTTAGCACAATCCAAAAAAGTGAAAATAACACCATTTTTGAGTAAATTTAGCGATTTGTGACGAAATAGTTTTGTAAATTTTTATTAAAAAACGTGCTAAAACGCCCAAAAAATTATAAAAAAAGGTCATTTTCAACCCAATTTGGTAATTTTTAAATATGTTTTAACAGAATCTTCCAAAAAACGTGATGTAAACAAACAAAATTCATTATTTTTCACAAAAGCACAAATAACACTATTTTTACTTAATTCAATTACTTTCCGACATATTCTTGACAAAATTTTGCAAAATAATTGCGTTTTTTATTGAAAAATGTTTTAAAATTGCTCGGAAAGAGCATAAATTATGTCGTTTTTTATTTAGTCTGGTATATGTATTAATTTTGGTATGTTTTTTAGCACGAATTAAAGAAAAAACTTTGTTTTAGACTTGAAAACGCAACTAAATGTTTGAAAAAAGCAAAAATAACATTATTTTCAAATTAATTGTGATTTTTCGGTTTATTTTGACGAAGTTTTGTGCTTTTGATTGAAAAATCTGCTAAAACGTTTGGAAAAGCAACCAGTTGATTTTTCCTTTGGCTCGAAACATGCTTAAACTCTCCAAAGAAGCAAAAATAATTTTAGTTTCGTGATAGTTTATTCATTTTTTACCTCATTTTCGACGAAAATTTTCAAAACAATTGCGATTCTGACTAAAAAACGTCCTAAAACGGAAAAATAGTATTATTTTTGAACAAATTTTTTAGCACAATCCAAAAAAGTGAAAATAACACCATTTTTGAGTAAATTTAGCGATTTGTGACGAAATAATTTTGTAAATTTTTAATTGAAAAACGTGCTAAAACGCCCAAAAAATCATAAAAAAGGTCACTTTCAACCCAATTTGGTAATTTTCAATATGTTTTAACAGAATCTTACAAAAAAACGTGATGTAAACAAGCAAAATTCATTATTTTTCACTTAATTTGGTGACTTTTCGGTACATTTTTGTCTAAATTTTTCGAGATAATTACGTCTCTTATTGAAAAATATGGTGTTAATATGAAAAACCGTTTTCGAAAAGTCGATGAACTAGCTTCAAAATTACACCCAGTAAACAAGAAAAAAATCTTTTAAATGAGAATCTTAATTTTCGGGACAGCATAAAGTGGACTTTTTTATATTGTGTCGTTAGAATTTCATTTATAAATGTTTTGTTAAACTTGAAATATTTTTATAAAGCAATAGTTATCTCAAAGTTTATATTAGAAAATAAAGCTTGTTTTTTGATACATAACACTTTTATCAATTTTTTAATAATATAAACTAATGCATTATAGAGGATGAAGGGGTCAAGGAAACAATATTGTATTGTAACTTATTTTTGAGACACGCTGTATAGTTGAAAATAATTTTAGGCGATGGACTATATAATATTTTTTTTATTTTACCATCTAAAGGTCACTAATGGACTTTTTCAACTCGCTGGGACAGCCTGTACTTAATTGTTGTACCAATACGAAACTTTAGTTTTATAATAGATAAATTGTATTATTGTAGGCAGTTTTTATTTTGAGAGTTTTTACAGCACGCGAGCTAAAATAATAGGTAGAAACAAAAGTCTGATTTTATGTAGGTTAACTTAGAGCAGCACTCATTAGGTAAGTATTTGTTGCACAAATTACAACGTAATTATTAGAAAAAATTGGTGATTCTAAGGATTTTTTTGTAACTTTATAACAAAGTTTTACTTATTGTTACTGATCACACTGAGTCCTTGCTAACCTACATATCATGATCAGAGAGTGCAAACATATGTTTTGATAAAAAATATACTTATTCACTATTATTTTTTATTTATGCGTTTGTAAATGTATAGAAACAAAATATTAAAAATGTATAAAAATAAATAGAAACTTAAATATTCAAGCAATTTATGAAGATTTGAAATAGTAATATTGGCATGATTGTTATAAATTTTGAAGCTTTATGTCTTGAATTTATGTTCAGATGTAATGGCTTATTATGTATTTATGTATAGTATATGTTGTGCTGAATAAAGAGGAAATCAATGATTAATGAGTTTAAATATTCTTCTTTTTATTGGAAATTATTGATTTTGATATGGAAGTAGATATTTATGAACAGAGTGTGTAAAACTTTGTCAATAATGACAACCTTTCTAAGACAAAAGGTCTACATTTTCGGTTAAATTCATTGTAAAAATAATTCATTTTATCTATTTTTTTATTTTGTAACACAACTGCTTACAAAAATCGATTTTTTTTATTTTGTGATATTAAATCTTGAATATTGTTAAGTTGTTGACTACTAGAGTTTTTGATCTATTCGGAATTAAATTAAAAAGTGCGATAATGATAATGTGTCACGGAGATGACAAAATCATTTAGTGGAAAATTGGAAAAGAGAAATACAAATAAATATTAGACATGAAACTAAACGTTTTCAGAATAATGTGGTTTACCCGGAAATGTTGCTGAAAAACACTGAAAAGTGGTATTTGTGCAAATACTTTCCTCCTTTTTTTGTTTAAGTTTATATTTAACTTTTTTAATATAACTTTAAAAACTCGACAGAATCCTAAAAAGTAAAACAGCTCGAAATGCTTTGAAATTCAGCACAGTTTTATGAGCCGAAGACGAATTTTAATTTTTTTAGTATAGGTATGTTAAAAACAGAATCCTTAAAATTTTGAGTTTTTTCAAAAAAGACAAAAAAGCTTTTAAAGGTTTTTCTGACCAACTCTTTAATCCGAATCTTTTTAGACAAGAACACAATTAATTTCTATTCATAATTTAATAAATAGTTTCTATTGTACATATTTATTTTTTGACCCGGCAAAAGAAGAAGAAACCATTTGGCAGATAATTATTTTATGACATAATTTTCTGATAAATAATTTCCACAACTTTTACACTCCACTGACCCGGCGGTTTAGACCTGCAGTCAGGCAAGATTCAAATAATTTAAGATGAATTATTTGAAATGTACGAAAAATTCTCTAAAATTCCTCAATCTAGCGTCACTACAGATCTCCCGCCTCGCAACTTAATAAACTATTATTAATTAAGTAATTATTATTGATGTTATTAAAATGTTTTTTTTTTTTATAATATTGAGACATTTCCTAATAATATTACAAGTTTTTAAAAATATTATTTTTTGAACTTCAATAATTAAATTTAAGTTTTAATTTAAATGTTCGAGATAATCACATATTCACACACTTCACTTTGCGATAAACAGGAAAAATTTTGTTAAAATTATTTTAAAAGTAAATTTGCATCCGTCTTCTACAAATTTTTGGGAAATAATACATTTTATCTGAAACACAATTAATTTCTATTCATAATTTAATAAATACTTACTGTTGTACTCAAAAATCACAAATTCACACACTTCACTTAGCCACAACCAAAAAA